ACTTATCTCACTTGCATATGATTCTACTATGTATATAAATTTTTAATTTTCGTCTAGAAAATATAATTTAGGTAATTTCTTACATAATAATTTGATTTTTTGTATTTGTTCTTGGTCTTTTTTGTCAAAATAATATTCTACATCTTTCTTTAGTTTTTTGTGCAAAGGTTTAAGATTTTCTGCTAAATTAGGTATATATTCTCTTACCTGATTTACTAATCCTAAAAATGATTGTAATTTCTTTTTCGTATCTATTTGTTCTTCAGAATTTATTATTTTTTGTACTATGTGATTTTGCATTTTTATACCATTCTTATCTATTTGTATTCCTAAAAATTCTATTTGAGCTTTCATTATTTCTGCCTTTTTCTTACTCAAACTTATTCCTGAGTGTATTATAATATGTATAAATTTTTCTAGTAATCGTATATGATCTTCTTCTGTCCGTGAATATAACAATATATCATCTATGTATACTATACAATTTTCTAGTTGATTAAAGTAATTATCCATAAAATGTTGATATTTTCCTGGTGCATTTTTGTATCCAAAAGGTAGTACGTTCCATTCATAGAATCCTTGTGGTACTGTAAAAGCTGTTAATTTTTTAGATTCTTCTTCTAACTTTAGATGATAAAATCCTGATTTACAATCAAATTTACTAAAATAATTGTATCCTTGTATTTGTCTTACTTTTAGTATTTTGTTTGGTATGGGGTAATTATATGTTTTTGTTTTTGCATTTAGATTCCTATAGTCAATAACCATACGGCTTTTACCTCTTTTCTGTTCACTATGTTTATTTACTATGAATGCTGGACTTGTATGTTTACTATTACTTTCTTGAATATATTTGTTTTCTAATAGTTCCTTTATATGCATTTTAAATTCTTTTAAATCTTCAAAATTATATTTCAATGGTTTTTCGGTTATTATACTATTTCATCAATTAGTTCAATTTTTATTTTTGTTTTGTGTTTTTCCCATCCTTTTAAGGGATCTTCACTATATAACATATCTAATTTTTCTTGAATTATTTTTAATTTATCTATTGAAAATATTATTAATTCTATATTGTGGGTACTTTCTTTAATATTTTCTAATTTTTGTGTGATTTTTTCACTCCCATTAATCCATGGTGTCGACTTTCTGTTTTTATTATTTACTCTTTTTGCTCCTATCTTTTGCTTACATGGTGTGGTAAACCACCAATGTGTTTTTGTTATTATGTGAGGGTATAATTTGTCTAAAAACGGCATTCCTAAAAGCATATCTTCATTTATAAATTCATAATTATATATATCTTCTATAGTTAATATTTTATCCCATATTTGTAACTTTATATTTCTTGCTTTATATGTTATCATACTTCCTTCATTATTAAATCCTGTTACGACTATAGGTGTTTTTAATTTTTCCCATTTTTCGTCTGGTAGACAATTATGTTTACACATATTTGCTTCTGCTCCTGTATCTAACATTGGAGTGTAATATCTGTTATAGTAATTTTCTACTATTATTTTTGCAAGTATATAAATTTTCATATTGCTCTCTTAATTATGACCTTTTTATTTTTATAGGTTATAATTAATTGCGTATTTTCTAGATTATATGGTTTCATTTCTTCTAACCATTTTATTCCTAATGTTATAGTATCTCCTTGGTATATTTTAAATGTTATTGGTATGATTATTCCTCCTATTATTACTTCTTTTTGAGTTATTTCTTCTATATATGATAATTCTTTTGGTAATTCTGGGCATACTTGTTCTTTAACAGTTATTTCTTCTTCTGATACTAGTTCTCTTGGTATATAATTTTCTTCCTGTCCAGTATTTATTATGATAATATGCTTTCTTTGTTCTATTATTCCAGTTATATGATAGTGATATGGTTCAATTTCTTTTATCATTTGGTATTCTACTGATTTTCTTGAGAGTTGGGATATATTATCATTATCTTTATCTATGTTTTTTATCCTTTTCGATGTACTTATTCTATCACTTATTATCTCTAGATCTTCTTCTATGTCTATTTCTTTATAACTATAATCATTATTATCTATTACTGTAACAATTTTCTCAAAAGGATTTTCTATTTTTATTTTATTTATCTTATTTGTTGCAGTTATCTTATGTTTTGTTGTTAATACATATAGATTTTTACAGCGAGCTGTAAATATTTTACTTCATGGGGCTAACTCTATTCCTGACATTTTCCAATATAGTACTAATGATTTATCTATATTTTGATCATTTATTGCTACTGAGTAATTAACACTTATTATAAATTTAAATTTTTGGTACATTAAATTTCCTTTTACTGCACTTATTATGCTTATTTCTATTGGTTCTATTATTCTATCATCTGTCAAATATATTTCTATCGGTGTATCTATTCCTTCTCTAAAACAAGCATTTATTAATATCTCTGTTCTGCCTAAGTGTACGTATTTTATGGGGTCTCTAGCTTTAATTTCTTGTATTTCTTTATTTATTATTCGTTTATTTATTATAGGTATTCTTGCTTTTCCTTTTGTGTATTTACAATCTATTATATGTTCTTTTTGACTTACTACATAATATTCTTCTTTTTGCCTTTTAAATATATTTCTTAGTACTGGTATTTTGAATATTTTTTCTACACTGAGATCTAATTCTTTTCCTTTTATATGTTCAAATATATTGATATCAAATATTACTTTTTGTTCTGTAGATTTTTCATTTATATACTCTTCTTTATTTATTATTTGTACGTCCTTTTCAGTCATCATTATAGATTTATAGTCTTCTTTTATTTCATTTTCAGATAGTTCGTTCTCAAATTCATATATGCTATCATCTCTTTCTGGTTCATAATCTATATAGTCTATTTGTGTATATGTCTCATCATTAATTATTATTTCAGATATTTGTTTTTTCTTTGGATTCTTAGGTACTTTACAATCTTTAGCTAGATGTCCTAGTTTTCCGCAATTATAACATGTACATTCTGTTATTTTCTTCTTTGGTCTAAAAGGTCTTTTTGCTTTAGTGTTTTTTTATATAATATCTTCTTCTTAGTCTTTTATACCTATATTGGGATTTATATTTTTTATATTTCCCTGGTTTTCTATATTTCTTTTTATAATAATTATCATTACATCCAAATTGAGGTGTTATCTTATCTTTACAACATGCTAGGTTTTTAATTATTGTTTTTTTCATTTTTATCTCTTCTCTATATTTTTCACATATTTCTGAATACCATTTTTGTAAATATCTCATTCTTGCTCCAAGTGTATCTTGTAATCCTGCTTCATTCCAGTCTTTTATTATTTTAGAACTAAATGGTTCTGGTAATTTTGTAAAATATAATTTTCTTATTTCTTTTGCTTCTTCTGTATTATACGTTCCTTTATAATAATATTCTCTAAATACACATGTATATTTTTCTATGTAACACATATTACATATAGCTAATTTTAACATTAAATTCCTATTTAACTGTTTCTCTTTATTTTGTTCTTCTACTTCTGTAGTTGTACTACTGAATTCATTTCTTATAGCTATTTCATATTTATTTAATATCTCAACTGGTGTAGTCGCAATTTCTCCGTCTATTTTCTTATTATTTCTTAATGTTTTTATACTTTCTTCTGCTAAATTTTGTAACCATAATTTTACCGTTCCTATAAGTATTCTTTCTATATATCCCGGTACTTCTGTCATTCCAATTTTGTTATCTATTAGTTGTTTTGATATGTATCCTACCTATAGTTGTATTGTTTTGTTTATATCAGCTACGCAATCTAAATCTAAAAAATCATTATTTCGGGATGTTGTAGATGGTGTCCATTTTTTATTTAATCTTTTATTCCATAAACTATCATATCTGTCAGATTCTTCATAACTAACTGTATAATAATTAGGACTTAGTGTTTTTGGATTTTTTACTTCAGATGTACTTGTACTTGCTTTATTTTTTATTTCTTCCGTATTTATTTCTATTGTATTATTAATTGTTTCGGTTTCTCCTATTTTTTCTAATATTTCTGTATATGTTTCACTTATGTCTGAGCCTTGTTCTGAACAATTTTCATCTATATCAACATTATCAACTCTTATATCTGGGTTTTCTTTTTCTTCAGTTAATTTTTCTTTAAATTTTTCTATCTCTATTTTTAATTCTGTTTCTATTTCTTTTCTTTTTTTGTCTAGCCATATATAATTCTTTAAGCATGGTTAATTCTTTTTCTAAGGCAATTATTTTATCATTTTTTACTTCTTCAATCTGCTGTATTTCTAATTTTGCTTGTTGTTTTATCGTATCTATTTTTTTTTTATCTATTTCTTCATTTTCTCTAGTTATTCTTACCATTGCAGTTAGACTATCTTCTAATCTTACTGTTTCTTTTTCTATCATTAGATATATATTTTCACCTATTTTTTTATATCTTCTTCCTAAGTTTGAAAATATTATTTTTATTTTTAATCGCTCAGGATTTTCGTAGGTTTTTTCTTCTATAGCAAATTCTTCCTTATTCATCTTAAATTGTGTTTTGATTTATACTCAATTTTTTGTATTTCGAGTTGTAATTTAAATATTGCTTTTCTTTGAGCTAGCAGAGACTTTTGGCATACTCCTACATATAGATAGGTTATATTGTAGCCTTTCTTGTTTATGTTTTAATTCTTGTTGGTTTGATATTACTGTTCTAATTAATTCATATTTATGGGTCCAGATATTTTTTTGTTCAGCTTCAAGACAAATTCGTCAACGTCAAGATTCATTATCATATTCTGCATTAGCTGGCAAATACAACCACTTCAAAGTTCTGGTCCATGAAGCAATGGAGGAAGAGGAAACACATCATCGGTATTACTCGTACTAATCTAATCTCCTATATCAACCATGCATATCTTCAATATCTAGAAACTTTGACCTGTCTTGGTTGAGTAACATAATTGTTGAGTCGGAGAAAATGAATGTAAAAAAAGAACAAGCTAGGAATTTCAAAATAACCAAGAAAGTAACTATGAGATTCTTATAACTTGAAGATTACAATGCATAAATAGTGATTATGCATTGAATAATCAGCATGAAGAGTCAAATGGAAAGATAGTTCATTACAACAGTTTAAAGTCTAAAATGTTGTAGAGCAGAAGTTCCATCAAGTCCCTTTGCAGTAAAATAGGCAGAATATTCCTGAATTGTTGTTTCTCTGTATTTTGATGGATTTTCTTCTGATAACAACTCCTTAATAGGACCATAAAGTCTTGACGATGCTAGGAAAAATGTGGAGAAGAAGCATGCTATAGATATCCTTGGACCAACACGATTTGCTAGAACGCGATGTTCAACGCTTTTAAACTTGTCATTTGTTATTAACTGTACATTTTCATGACAAACAACATTAGTACTTGTTTTCTCTGCATGAATAACCTTCAAGTCTAGTAATATTAGAGAATAACTCAAATTAATCATTGTACTGTTGTTTTGACGGACTGATGTTTGTGTCAGGGTAGGCTGCCTACATTACACCCTCTTGGGGTGTGGCCCTTCCCTGAACTTCGCATAAACATGGAATGTTTCATGCACTGGACAAGTTGTCCCGGTGAATGGACCTAACGACTTGCTGTTGGTTCATTTGAACATACTTCTTTCGACATAATCACACAACATATGTGTGTGTGTGTGAAATTAGAAGATCAGTGCATATTATGAAATAGTGACTCCCTATGAGTCCACTGATTCTGTATAATGTAACTCAAGTATACACATGACCGGTACATACTAGTCTATGAAGCCTCTAACATATGACATGAACTGTATAGGTGTCGGGACAAGGCTCTGATATACCTTAAATCATCTATGTACATCATATGAATATGACAAGACCCTCAATGCTACAAGCCTGAGAGGGATTCACCGGCTCAAAGTGTAGCCAACGAGCTACTCATTTTCAATACAGATTGGTGAGAAGACATACCTGCAGAAGATCTGCAATATTTACAACAAGAGCACCAGGGGTAGGAGGGACATCAACCCAATGATTTCGATGAAGAACTTGCAATCCCCCTATATGGTCTTGAAGAAGCAAAGTCAAGAATCCGTCATCAGCATGTTTACTAGCACCTAATGTAAGTTCTGGTTCTGGACAAGCTGGATAATAGTGACATGCAACTGAAAGTCCTTTATCACAATCCATGTCATTGAGATAGTTTCTATTGAGCCCAAGTGCTTCTGCTAATAGTTCAAACAAAGAACGCCCGAGTTTCTTCACTTCCTCAGAGTATTTAACAATGATATCCCTTTACCACATCATAAAGAAAACACAAAACAGTATCAGTGTCGGAATCAGGAATTCTAACACGGGGATTCAAGGAATGATAGTGTGTCACAACTTATATCTGCAGGGGTGTAGCTATGTGCTAGTAAGGGCAGTCAGTTAAACACCCTCGATCAAAAAATTATGCTATGTACATTTAAGTCATTTTATATTATACATATACAAAATCTTGAACACCCTTAGCAGAATTCCTAGCTTAGCTACTGGTCTTCTGTCAAGGGATTCAACGAGTTTCATACATATCGGTATACTTTTTCAACGAAGAGGATTCAATCGAACCCCTTATAGACCATGAATCATATAAATGACATACCTACAGATTGGAGGCAATTCTTCAGGACTAGGAGGATTAGGAGCCATAATGCAGAAAAAAGTATCCCTCCAATTAGTTGCTGGTGCACTATACAAATCAAAATTACTATTGTAAACAACTCTTTTAGTAAACTCTCGCGTATACCATTGTTTCTTGATATCATTATCTTGTTCATGAAAACTACAAACACCTCGTATAATTTCTTCCAAGACATCACATGGAACGCCATGATTGATCACTTGGAAGAAACCCCATGTCTCTGATGCATCGCGGACTTTCTCAATGGCTTCTTTTCGATTGATTTGATCATGACTATAATGTCTTGGAGGTCTATGACTGGAAATATGAACTGTCCTGTGGTGGAATTTGAGTATGTATCTTGAGGTGAAATGAATATCTGAGGGACTTTACTTACTCCTGCATCAACAAGTCCTTTGACACCAGATTTTGTGTCATCAAAGGCTTTTAACTCACTTTTTCTATCATGTTTTGATTCATTTGTATCCATTTTCTTGATATCTCTTGTTCTCTTATTCATCAATAGGATATAGTAATTTATATCAAGATTTTGAGACTCTTTCTTTTTACAAAAGTGATGTCTCGGTCAGCTTGCATACACCCGTGGAGGTAAATGTTACCTCCCACCAGAACATGCACCGAGTATATCTATGTACCAATACTTAAACAGACGTGAAGAAATCACCTAATTTTAAACCTGAAACTTCATGATTCTCAATCCACTACTTCGTTGACTACTAGGCCACTTTCTTGAGTGCAAGATTTTGGAACTTTTTTTTAATAATTAGATGGATAATACAAGATTCCAAATTTGTAGCCATAATTAAGTGAGTCATCCATTGTTGACTTTGAAAAATGAAATAAATAAACAAACAATAAATCCAAATCAATGCAAGTTGTGACTTATGGACAACCCATTGTCCCATTCAGAATTTTATGCCAAGTGAAAATACAAATTGCCTTTATTATTGATAGACAAAAAAAAAGAGAAACGGCATCAAACTAAATTTGAACTTGTATAATTTATGAAAGTGATTTTTGATACTATACATGATGAAGTCATAATACAAAGTAGAAAAAAAATCAATATAGCAAAAATATTCTGTCCAAAATTGTCCTCCTTTCTATTTTTTTTCGTTGTACCAACTACCAAACATTTGTTAATAATAAAAAATGGAACTTCATAATAGTGGCTATTTGTTAAAGACATAGGCGAAAAGTGGCTAGTTCATTCTATTTCTATAGGTAATTTACAACAGCGGCGGAGCCACCATATAGTCAGGGGTTCATCCGAACTCCCTTCGACGGAAAGTTATATTATTTATACATGATTAAAATAATTTTTTAGATATATATAATAGATATTGAACCCCCCTTCGATTACTTCTTGTGTCTATTTTTTCAGATTTTGAACCCTTTATTGAAAATTCTGATTCCGCCACTCCTTGAAATTAATGTTTGTGAACTTTTGATCCTGATTGTCCCATTGACAAAGTATTAAGTTCGGAACAAGTTTTGACCAACAATTGCTTTTTCAGCCACTTCGAATTGTTTATATAAAATAAAATTAAAGACAAGTTCAAAAATTAATGATGATTCCCATATCTCCTACTTTGATGTAACAAGTAGAAATTGCACCGTATATAGCCAATTTTTATCTTGTTATTCACGTTGTATTTAGTTTTTTAAAATTATTATAACTCAAGTAATGCTTCTTTTTAAAGAAATTATTATTGGGTAATGGCAATACTTACGAGGGTTTGGGTGGCTCGGATTAGAGTCATGATTGAACATGACTCTTACGTGGTGGAGTTAGTTAAAAAATAAAGTTACGTCTTTGCTATTAGCTATAAGTTTTAGCATGATGATAAGCGTTTGACCCTAACAAGTGATATCAAAGCCAAGATTATGGGTTCGATTCCCAAGAAGCAAGTGTTGGGAGGGACTCTTCACATAAATTTAATTATTAAAGGAAAAATTAAAGACTAGTCACTCGAAAGGCCAAGAATAACATAAATTTAATTGTTAGAGGAAAAATTTAAAACTAGTCACTCGAAAGGCCAAAAATTAGAAGGGAAAATTACATGATTAAGCAAACATATATTAGTTAATTACTCATTATAACTAGAGTTTTAGTTAATTACCACTTGCGACTTACATTTAGTGATAATTACGTAGGCAGGGGTTTTGAGTTTGTATAATTCGGATTTTGTATAACTTTTGTATAATGTAATTTTGTATAACATAATTTGTATAACTGTATAAAGTTCAAATATTTGTGTTTGTATAAATTCGTTATTTCGAGTTTATACAAAAACAATTCAATTATACAAACCTGTGAATGATACAAATGAGAGAGGTTAAACTATAGCTACAACTCGTAAATATGCCAAATATAGCTATGGAGCATAATTAAGTTTATTATAATGGCTATTTGCGAAAATACTCTAAATTAAAAATCAACTAGTTCGATGGTCAAAAGTACAACTTTTACGTGGCATTGGGCCGATGTAGGACTGTCAATGAGTCCAATACCCAATTTATGGGCCCAAACCGATTCTTATTTTTTCTCTCAGCCCTAAATTTCAAATTTCACCCGTCTTCTTCGGCAAGTCGACACCGCACTCGCCGGAATCTCTCACGGCGGCGATCTCTTTCTCCGGAGGATTTAAATTCGTAAGTCTCTTCATTTATATATTCCATTCACGAATTTCCTTCCGTTAGTGTTCATGAGCTATAAACCCTACTTTTTTTTTATTTGGTGAAATGTGACTTTTGAATTGGATCTATATGCTGCTTGAAAATCCTCAGGTTCAATTTTTCTTAGCTCTGTGTGAATATTTACGTAGCTGTGCTTCCGCTACCTATAGAAATGATAATTTAAAATCAAAGGAAAACATCATAAGTTTGGCCTATTCAACTGTTAGCGCGACTCTTTTTTTTTTTTAATTGAAAAACTCTTCCTCTTTTGTCTGCTGTGCTTTTGGTTCTTCGTTTAATCTTTGCTTCTTGCTGGAATTTTTTTCTTTTTTCTGCTGCATCTTCGGTATGTTTTCGAAACTGAATTTGGGGTTTTTTTGGGCCTAAAGCCACTGCTTTGAGCTGCCCTTGGGTGTTAGCAGTTAGTACATTATCTGGAATTAATTGTATTCGTCTTTGCAGTCTGCTGCAAGAACAGCAAATGATAGTTCTGTGTTTCCTTTGATAGATGAGCAACTAGTTTTCCTAGTAAAAATGATGTAAAAAAGTACAATTTGAATTTTTTTTTATGGGATGCATTCTTTATTGTCACTTTAGTTTCAGTCTTGTTCATTCTTTGCCGTAGTTGTTATCTGTATGTCACATTTGCCTTTTTTATGTTATTATTGAAGATGAAAACTGGCCTGTTATCCATCTTTAGTGTGTTGCATTGCGTTTATAATACACTGATGATTGTGTCAATCTAAAGTCATATATTCTCCCTGATTTTAGTTATATCACTGTAAAGCTTCATTTCAACTTGTAAATTTTAGGAACTTTTATTAGTGGCCGTTCATAAACTAAACCAATGAAAGTTTTAGTTTCTGAGCAATTAATGTGTTTGTGTCTATTGATTAATAGGGTGATTGGACTGTATTTTTCGTTTCTATTATATCAGCTGAATGTCGAATTTTCTTTTCAAGGCAGGAGTGTAAAGCACAATCTTTACCAAGTGGTTGAAGTGGAAATTATCTGTGTTCTTTTGCATTAGCACAACACGCGTATGAAATTCTGATCAAGCTAGCATCATTTGCAATTCATTGCTTGGAAAGTGATATCTTAAGCATGAAGCTCATTGCACGGTTAAGACCCATCCAAACCTGTACAGCTCTACGTGAAATTATAGGGCCTTTGCAGTCTCGTTCATTTCAACCTGATTTTGTCCCCAGAGATCCCAATGCCAAGCCCATAAGGTACAAATATCCTGCTGCATATGATCCATATGGCCCTAGACCCCCACCATCAGACAAGATAGTTCAGCTTGCTGAACGTATTGCTGCTTTAGCCCCAGAAGAACGTAGACAAATTGGTCCTTTACTCCGGGAGATACTAAGGCACCCTAATTTGAAACAAATTTCAGTAGAAGGCATGGATTTGGGTGCAATGGGAGGAGCAGGTGGTGGACCGGCAAAGGCTGAGGAGAAGAAGGTTGAGAAAACAGCATTTGACGTCAAGTTGGAGAAATTTGATGCAGCTGCAAAAATCAAGGTGATCAAAGAGGTTAGATCCTTCACGAGTCTAGGTCTAAAGGAAGCCAAGGAACTGGTCGAAAAGGCTCCTGCTATACTTAAGCAAGGAGTAACCAAAGAGGAGGCTAATGAAATCATAGAAAAGATCAAAGCTGTTGGAGGAGTCGCGGTTATGGAGTAATAACCTCTGTTGGATTTAGCAGGTTCCCTTATCCTGCCAAAATTAACATAATTTCTCTTTGTTGGATTTCGTTTCTTGGTTTAGGACAATCGCGTTTTGTTTAGTAGGTTCTGTGGAATTATCTGGCTTTTTACAGCTTTAAACCCATTACACCATATAGGCATGGTGATCACAAGATTTTGTATCTGATCTTGCTGCTAGACTATTAAGAATTCGAAATAATCCCGTGGAATTAGTCCAGGTGCACGTGAGCTTGCCCCAACAGTCCAATACTAGAATCTGTCTTACAATGGTTTTTGCTTGATTTTATCAAATCAGACTTACTTATTAGTCACTTTGTATATCACCTTACAGTCAAAAAAGGGAAGAAGTTACTTATTATGTTATCTTCTTTCTCATATCTATCTCTTGTAGGTGATTGAATTTTTCATGGATAGTAAATTGGGTGAATGAAAGAGTTGCTGGTTACATAAGTTACTAACAACTAATGACCACTTTCTTCCACAATTGATGAGAGTAAAGAGACACAAATATAATGTCCGTCAATATACATAGCATGATACATAATGTGTGACATATGATATATTTTTATTAATATTAAAATATCGCACTATTATTATATCATTCATATCACATGGCTCTTTAACATAAAATATGTACGTTATGGGCTAAATGTCCGTATCAACTAGCAGAAGCTTTATTTTTAAACATAGAACTGATCTTAAAAAATGATTAATTTAATTATAATAATTAGGTTAATTAGTAAACAAATGCAACAAGATTAGACAACAAATCTTCGTGATTCCATTAATAACTCAACACACACGTGTGAAAATCGACGAGAAAAGACTTATTTATGCCATGTTGATCAAAATAGTAGAAGAAAAGTATAATTGGAAAACATTCTGCTAGCCCAAGATTGTTAACTAAGATCAGAAGATTCAACTAAAGAAGAAGAAACTAGAAAGGAGAAGGAAGAGTTTGGAAGACCTAACTATGTACAAGTTCATTCCGTGTTTATACTTAACATGGATGGTTCTAGATACAACGAGATCTAAACTATTTTATAATTTTCTACAAATATTTGATTCTCTAGAACATCTACAAGAAAATTCACTATCTTCACTCTGGATATTTCTACAAGATGTTTATCCTAGATTCTACACTAGACTATGTATTCTAAAAAATTCAACTTTAACTTTTTCACATGTTATCAGTTAAAAGTTTGGTTCATCTATGTCTTTTCTGTTTAAGATATGAACATACATGCACCCATAATATAAAAACCATAAACTCAGGTATTTGCATTGAAGCTGTCCAGGTATTTGCATTGAAGCTTCATGATAGGACAAAACTACAGACTGAAATTATTATTATTTCATTCATATCACATGGAATGTTATCAACTAGCAGAAGCATTATTTGCATTGAAGCTTCATGATAGGACAAAACTACAGACTGAAATTATTATATTTCATTCATATCACATGGAATGTTATCAACTAGCAGAAGCATTATTTTTAAACTCAGTTCCAATCTTCAAACATTAGCATATATATATACACTTAGGTGATGTGCAAATTAATTTGTATATGTGTGTATCTTTAACTTTTTACAAGGTAGATTTAACTTAAAATCTGAGATTTAGACAAAAGCATAAGAAAAATGGGAGTGATGAAGATCAACACAAATGAAGCAGAGTATGAAAGAATGGCTGAACTACAAGCCTTTGATAAGACGAAAGCCGGTGTTAAGGGACTAGTCGATGCAGGTATAACCAAAGTACCAAGAATGTTTGTACAACCATCAAAGATTGAAGATTCAAGAAGTCACAACAAGAAGTTCATTAAGTTTCCAATAATTGATCTTGATGGCATCATGGAAGATCCGATCAAACGAAAGAACATAGTCCAAGAAATTGGCCATGCATCCGAGAGTTGGGGTTTCTTTCAAGTGATCAATCATGGGATTCCTAGTCATGTTATGGATGCAATGAAAGACGGTGTTACCAGGTTCTTTGAGCAAGATACTGAGGTGAAGAAGCAGTGGTATACACGAGACTTGACAAAAGAGTTCACATTTAACAGTAATTTTGATCTGTTTACAGCACCAGTAACCAACTGGAAGGACACTTTTCGTGCCACTATAGCTCCTATACCTCCAAAGCCCGAACAACTCCCTTCTGTCTGCAGGTATTATGGTCAAACAAACAACATCGTTATAGAGAGATTTGAATATTGTATTGTATTTTAATTTGCTTATTGTGCATTTGTGATAGGGATATTCTCCTCGAGTACACGAACCAAGTGATGACATTAGGTGACACTCTATTGGAACTAGTGTCCGAGGCTATTGGCCTCGAACCAAACCACCTCAAGGATATGGGTTGTGCAGAGGGGCTTCTTGCTATAGGCCAATATTATCCAGCATGTCCACAACCTGAACTTACTCTAGGCATCAGTAAGCATGCTGACATCGACTTCCTCACCGTGCTTCTCCAAGACAACATAGGCGGTCTCCAAGTCCTACATCAGAACCATTGGGTAGATGTTCCCCCTACTCCCGGAGCGCTCGTGGTCAATATAGGAGATCTTCTACAGGCAAGTAATGTTACATTTATCATATACCTGTTTCAGAAACATAATTATCTTATAACTTAATGATATTTTTGACTCGATCATTTTCAGCTTATAACGAATGACAAGTTCAAAAGTGTTGATCATAGAGTACTGGCAAATAAAGTTGGACCAAGAATATCGTTGGCATGCTTCTTCATGACGAATTGTGTGACAACACATAGGCTGTATGGACCTATAAAGGAGCTGATATCGGAACAGAATCCTCCGAAGTACAGGGAAACAACGATTAAGGAGTTCACAACTTATTTCAATAACAAAGGGCTGGATGGCACTTCAGCTCTGTTGCATTTTAGACTTTAGACTAAATTGTTCAGCAATTATCATCGCGAATGTAACAGGTAAGGTATGTGTTGGAATAGTTGTGGAATTGAGAGATATTGAATCAAATAAGGTTGTTTGTACAACTATTTATGTCAAATTATGTATGTTTATTACGTTACCATCAATAAACTCTACAAGTAATTTTCATGATTATGCTTAGAAGCACTTGAATTATTTGATTCAATTAGAGAAACTCAATAAGATGTACAATTCATACAAGTTGATAACAGTATGAAGAAAGGAGCAGAATCACCCAAAACTACTTATAATAGTAAGAAACAAATTAAACTAAGACAAAAAAAAATTATTCACATATGAAATACGACAAACAAATCCTAACTAGACATAATTAAATAAAAACCAAAAATAACAAATCCTAAATAACTAGATTACTGGTTTAGGCTAAATACTTGAACAAATTTGGGTTCTCTTGGTCTCTTTCCAAGTAATCTCTAGTGATGAGATCTTCCATTTGTTTTTTGATTGCTTTTAAGTCAGGCTTAAACATTGAGCTCAAATGCTCAACACACTCTGCTACTAGTTGTTGATGAGGAAGAACTTTCCGACTCTTCATAATACGCACAATACAAGCATCAATTGCATAACGTCTATCTTTGCCTACATCCTCGACCACCTTTTTCCTTTCATCCACAGGAGGTAATGGGACCCTAATCCGTCTCATCCTGTCAGTGAACTTGGAGTTGAATTCAAAATGATCAGATGACGAAACAGTTGTATTACTAGGCTCCTTAATCAGAATTTTATACTTGGCACATGAAAGGGATTGAAGCAATCTGATCAAGTCATCATCAGCCAAATTTAACTGACTTTTGATTTCTGAGTAACTCAATCTATCTGACGAATTAAACAATAACAGAACAGCAGCCTGATATGTTCCCAGAATCAGTTCAATTGTTTTTGAATCAAACTTCCCATTGACGTTGCACGTACCCAATGAATAAATCCATGTCAATTTCCTGTGTTTCGTTTTTGTCTGATAGAATTCGTTGAAGACTTGTACACACTTAGCCATCTCCACAGGGAGACTCAAATCACAAGATTTATAACTAGGCCAGAACCCACTTGTAAGAACTGTGACAGAGAAATCAATTCCAGGACTCGAGTTGTTGCTGAGATATTCTTGAAAATTGTTCTGATTTTCCTTAGCCAAAGTCAAGTCTGTCAGCATTCCCTCCATTTTTGATGTAAACTGTCCACCACACTGTTGCTTTAGCTTTGTTAAGATTAGCCTTTCGTGGTCATCATTCGCACTTTTATCAAAGAGTAATCTACGAGAAAGCTTCTTCCTGCAGAACTCCGCGAAAAGGTCTTTGTCATTAATGTATGCGAGAAGCTTTACCACCTTCTCCAACGTCTCCTCAATAGCATCATCACTGAGTTTTTCACTTCCACCTTTTTTAAGAATATTATCACAATAAGAAGCAAGGAGCTCTGCACTTGAACAACCAGATACAATCTTATTACAAAACACCTCAAATGCCTCCTTGAGAGCCTTATGAAACAGAGAGTTATTAGCAAAACAGTTTGTAACATAAGCCATATACTTATCGTAAAGCTCAATCAACTTTCTAACAAAGAATGGAGTTTCAGACTTGCTATTTGTCGTATCTTCAGCCTGTTGCACTAAGACCATGCCTTCAGCAACGACGTGCTGCTTAAACATAATTGAAACAGGTTTCAATCCCTTGTCGATTCTGTGGAATAGCCTATACATTCGAGATAAATCCTCTACCTTATCATCTCTAAGCAATACTCGACATCCAGAATGCTCCTTCTCAAGTAACTCATTCGTATATACAACCAACAATTCGTTTTGCACTTTCTCTAAAAGTTTCGTCTCACTAACAACATGGAGATAATGAGACACTCTATCTTTCTCTTTTTTCAAGCAGTCCTCTGCCTTCAACATATAATCAGGACACGAATCTTCCACAATCCAACTTGAAGCTTTTCGAGAATAATAAGCTGCAGTATGTTTAAGCATTGCATCTTCAAAATCATTCTCGTAATACTCCATATTCCCCATTCCAATTCCAACGAATATATCAAGCACATTCTTCAATAAACCTCTGTCAATCTGCTCACCTTCGCGTTCTTGTTCAATCAAGACAATAACTGCATCTCTAGCTTTATCCTTCAACTCCTCATAAACCAGATCACGAAAGCACATCAGACCAACTTCAGCAAGTCCAGGTAGAGATCTTCGACCAATAAAATATCGTTCCAGATAATGGAAGAAGCGTGAAAGCCACCTAATCATAGTTTTGTGATTCGCCCATCTTTTCACAATCTCCCTCAATATGAACTCATCGTGTCTCTCTCGTAAAGAGGGCAGAACTGAATAATTGATATAGTCTACAATTGATTGCCTGTGCTTATCATACAAGTGTTGTGAGTAATCATTATTATTTGGCAGCGGCATATTCTGTGTGCACATGTTAAATATAGTTGTATAGAGCATCATATACTCTTTAGAGTCGAAAGAAAGCTCTTCTCCTTCTAAAATTTTCTTCAATTTAGTGATTCCCTTTTGCATAAAATTCCATCCTTCCTCAAACTCAATAATCTTCACCTCGCTCATTGCCATCTTAGAACCACGTATTTTACGTCCACCGGAGATAAGATCGATCACCGGAGAGCTGAATCACAATCACCGGAGTTTTATTTATAAACTCAAAAGCTGTTGAATGTGACTTCAACTTCTCTCTATTCTGTATATAGAAAATATTGAGCAAAACCCCTATTTATAATAGTAAGAAACCAAATTAAACTATGATTAAAAAATCTATTTGTATATGAACTAGGACAAATAGACATAATTAAATAAATACTTAAAATAACAAATTCTAAATAAATTAGGATTTCTATTCCAACGCATCTAGTACCCTCCTTCCAAAAATATTATTAGCTCTATTTGTCCCTTTAATATTGTTATTATTTAAAAGGTGATGAATTAAGAAAATAGAAAAGTCGATCAAAATAGATATTAATCAAGATAAGACTAAAGAGCTGAGTTTACACTTTTTTTAATTTGTCAACATTTCTTTCTTTTTTATACTCTTATATTTTTTTGACGTATGTCATCTCTCAAAATCACACGTAGTTGATATTTTTCTATCTATTCAAATATTGATGGATAGTTTTACTTGATATATTTGTAATTTTTCATCTATTAAAACATAATGAATAAAGTTACTCTCTACATGTATGAGGTATCACAAAAATTAATTAAAATTTACTAAATTAGTTCATTGGATCGTGAATATCTCGTGAAATTAATCGAGATGTATATACATAACCTAACTCATACCCTATAGTTATCGAGTAAATCACAAGTAAAAAGTAGAACACAAATTTCTCCTTTCTTTTTTTAAAATTATTTAAAAGGTGATAAAGTAAGAAAATATAAATGTCCACCAGAATAGATAGCCATCCTATTATTGTACAATAGTGTAAAATAAATTAAGCAAGAAAGATATTAATCAAGATATGACTTAATAACTACGTTTACTAAAATTAAGTATTTTTCATACAAAGAAGAAAATATTTTATATCTTATAATTTGCTACTTAAGATCGCTCAAGTATCCTATAGCATGGGCGGATCCACGTATATATGTGAGGGTGCATATGCACTTGTTAACTTCAAAACAAAATAATGCAAATCTATATATATATATAAAGCTGGATAATAAAATAGTGATGTGACACCTTTCATTAGCCAGCATTGACATTTATCTTTTTTCTGTTTTTTCCGATTTTTTTAAAACTTTTTCTTTATTTCTTATATCAAGTTTAATGTTCAGATTCCTAAAAGACCATATTAAAGAGGTAGACATTCACGTAGTAAAAGTTGTCATCAATTCGCTTAAATTTTCTGCTACTTCTCCCATTCTTTACCTTTTACAATAGCATTTAAATTGTCATTAATGTGGTTATCCATTATAAACTAATTTAGCATTTTATAATTAGACATTTATAGTTACGTTATTTCTTATCAGAATCATATCTCATAAAGTTTTGTTTAATACAAATGAAGTGATTATCTTCTTTTTTTCTTTAAATAATTTGGGTAGAGATTACAATGTGAGATCCCAACTCTACAAAACAAAGTGGGAGGTAGCCAACCAACTAAGCTACTGTTCGCAACAAATTTCCTTAAGCGCTGAAAATCAATTGCAAGCAAAACAAATAAAAGAAAAATGTTATTTTTATTGATGAATCGTTGTGAGTACAATTCTGTTGTTCTCTTGATTCTCTCTCCTAAGATTCTCCAAGATTCGAGGGCCTTCAGTAGCGTATTTCTTGAAATATTGGATAATGTAGACCTCCTTGAGATGTTGTCGATCTCCGGGAACGTCGAAAAGCGCTTCGTCGTTTCAAGTCGATCTCCGGGAAGAACTCCGTTGATGACTCCTTCGAAGAGCTATGTAGTTGATGGTGTAGCTTCCTCCAATTGCAGAATGCTTGTTGAAGAGTTTTCTCGATCCCCCTTAGAATGTCATGTCCATCCCCTATTTATAGTTGTAGGGGGTGGATAAGGTTGCTTGTAATTGGCCAAAGAATGTCATTTTGACACTGGCGGATTGCGATTGGTTCTTGCATTTGACTAGGACTACCACCTCATTTGGACACGTGGCGTCACCTTGTTGGTCTTGGATGCCTAGTCACTGTGACACGTGGCATGAGTTTGGGCTTCAAGGTGAAATGGACCTTGAATTTGAATTTAATAAGATGAACTTATTTATTTGTAAAGCCCAAATTAATCATTCAGCCCAAATGAACATGGACTTAATTCAAATTTTGTATGAATTTGATCCAATACAATTTATGTGTCTACAAATGCCCCTTACTTCGAGACTTGTCGACATGTATTCATGAATGTGTGTGTGTGTGTGTTTATTTTTTTTTGAGACTTGTCAACGTGTAGGCTTGTCGAATTTGACGACGAATGTTGAAGCCTTCGTGAATGCATTTTCATTTTCTGAGACTTCTCAACGTGTAGGCTTGCCGAATTTGACGACTAGAGTTGAAGTCTTCATGAATGCATTGTTGAGACTTCAAGAGTATTTATTTCTTGTTGTCGTATTATAACTAAGCCACTACAAATGATTTGCTTGTAGTGATCTCAATTTTTTAAACATTCTTGCTCGACAACCACATGAACCCTCTATATTGATTTCAAATAGATGGGTCTAGTGAGTAGTAACATTATTTTTTCATCTGATCTTCCTTGCAAGGTGTGAAAAAAAAAACAAGAAGATTGGTTGGATTTTGAAAATAAAAAAGAATATCAACTTTCCTTTATCCAAGTCAATGAAGATATTCTTCTTTCCTTATCTCTTTGGTTCATCCTTCCATATTGGTGTGGCTTCAAAATGGACATGAAATATCTCAACCAAATCAGATTTTCATTTTCTAAATTCACCTTATTAAGCTTTGTGGGAGGATTAGAAATCTTTCACAAGAATCCCTATATAATCCCCTCCAATGCACAAAGAATTTCATCGCACAAAATTCTAGACGCTGCAAAAAAAAAAAAAAAAGTTATCCGAGTGTATTTAACTCTTCAGTTGCAACGTTGCTTGTTTTTTATCAAATCCATAGACGTAGCCTCCCTCATATCTCGAAAGACACTTTAAGCAAAGTACCCTTGCTATTTTCTCAGGTAACTTTGAACCTTGTTTAGCAGTAACCCGTTTTGATGGTTCAGCTTTGCGCGCCTGTAGTGTAAAATCCATATCTAATTGTAGAAAAATCAAAATCGCAAGCCGTTTGGTTTTTCTGAAACTAGAAACATGGTACTACGACATATAAAATATTTGTAGCCAAATTCTTTTTCAATTGCTACAGTTTTGATCTTCAAGTTTGAACCCGTTTCTGATTGACAGATTTGCGCGTCCATAGTGTAAAATTCATTTCTAATTGTAGGAAAATCGAAATAGCAAGCCGTTTGATTTTTCCGAAACTAGAAACATGGAACTACGACATATAAAATATTTGTGCCAAATTCTTTGTCAATTGCTACAGTTTTAATTTTCAAGGTTGAACTCATTTCTGATGGTCAGATCTTTTTGTCTTTTGATTACTCCGATCGTGTTTTCGCCAATGTAACCTCCTTTTTTTTTTTTTCAGAGCCACGTTGTGCAATCTTGATTTCCAGCAGCGACAATGGACTTTAGTGACCGAGATGTGCCATACCCTTGCCTTGAAATCGTGGAGAACAAGCAACATTCGCGCGCCAAAGTTCTCACCTTGAAAGTTCATCCTCCGGTGATCGGCGCCTTCCCACTTATTAGAAAGATGCTGGACACTTCTCATCATCTCCCAGATTGGTCGTCAACAAAAACGAAGGATGTTACGGACAATTTCTCTGGTAATGTCACAACTAAAAAAGTTCTCCTCTTGAGGTCTTCCACTCATCAAAACGTTGGTGTTGCCATCCCTCCTCGTCGTGATGAACATCTTAGCAGTTGGTGTGTTCCTTCTTCTGGGTTTGGTGAGGTTCGCTATACGTCTGACTATTGGGAGTGGGTAGAGGATGTGCTTGCCCGCTGCAAGGAGACTTTGGATAACATCAAGACTTATGATGCTATCTTTGCTTCAATGTTCACATACGATCACAACGAAAATGTTCTCCAGGCCTTTTGCGAGAATTGGCGTCCATCCAATAATACAGTCTCTACCTTCGTCGGAGAGTTGTCTATTTCTTTATGGGATTTGAGAACCATTGGAGGTCTTCCTGTTCATGGCTCCTTTTATGATGAAGTTATACCCTCAGCAAAGGAGTTGACACATGTAGATGATCAAGGGAAGTCTTTTCTTCCAAGCAGCTGCTCCTTCTTGTTTTCAGCGTTCTACCGACTTACCAAAGGTGCCATCGACGAAGTCTCTTTTTGAGAATGGACAAAGTTTTGGTTTAGAGGGCTGAGAAAATATGCCGAGCCTTCACCAAGGACGTCTAAGAATCGCACAAAACCAAGGATGAATCATGATCCTTCTGGAAATATTGACATGAGCTTTTTGCCTCGAACCGAAGAAGAGAATGCTCCTTTTGTCGAGCTAGGCGTAGAAGAATCATTCAGAGATGAGACTTATCTGGCAGCTTTTCTCGCATTGGCTTTGCAAGTTTGTTCTTCCTAACAGGAAAGCTGATTGTATTCGTGCTAGTGTCTTCAAAGTTGCAAGCTTGATGGCTCATGGAGAAATATTTTCTTTGGCGGTTCCGGTCCTAGCAAGCATCTATCGCGGTCTCAGGGATATATCCACTTCTTCAAACTTGGGTGCCTGCAATACATTACTTCCCCTCCATTAGGTATATGGATGGATATGTGAGTATTTTGAGACCTACTTCCGTGTTACCCGTCCTCAACGAGGTGTGCGAATGTGGCAGATTTCTGGAGAAAAGATGGCGAAACATTTTGACCTTGTTGACGCTTGCAAGTTATTTCAACAAGTGAATATGCATGACCTCCACAATCTGGCCATGCTACAAGGAAATGAGCTGCATATTGATGATAGTGGAAAATTGTCCACTTCCTGGAGCGATTTCCTTATAGGACTTCGTTCAAGTTTTGTCACTTTGAGG